GTTTCAATTAATTTTTGTTATTATTTTCTTTTATTTTAATTGCCGTCGTTTAAAAATGGTAGGATTATTATGATTTGTGCTGCCTGGCAAAAGAAAACCGGGCCGCGACTGGGGGTCCCCTCTGCCATGGGACTCCCCTCGATCACCATGTCCTCAGCCGCCGTCCTGACGTACCGGGTGGCACTGGTGTGGGAGCCTTACATCTTTATTTTTTCTCTAATAACTTAATTCTGTAAGAGACCGTATTTCTATTTTTTTTTTACCCAGGCTGCTGGCGCCTGCTGCTCGGGAGTTTCTAAGCACCAATGTGAAGTAGCAGATGTTAAAATGCGGACACGTTTTGTGAGAGGGCAGATGTAACTCGGTTGCAAGTAGTTGCTTTTTATACTGGTGCATGCCTGCGATGTTTGCGAGCACCCTTCTGAAGGCATGCAGACATCGAGTACTGCAGGCAAATGTTATACGTGTCTGTCTCGGTAAAATACATGACGCATGTACAAGGGAGCGCCTTTTTTCATTTTTTTGTGTGCTTACCATATCACCTTGTCTCTCAAGGACAGCACATTGCTAAAATGCAGGCAGAGATTTATTGGAGGGACTGAAAGGACTTTACTCCTCCTTCTCCTCTCCCCCTCAGCTCACATTTCCTGCTCCTCTGGCATCTCTTACACTCCACCATGAGCTGGAAGAAAGCAAGCAACAGAGCTAGGGGAACATCTTGCCCCCGCTCTGTCCCTTGGCATGTCTGCTCTGGCAGAGAAGAGGTGCAACTGCCTTCATTACTTGCCCCAGAGCGGAGGCACTTTGTCTCAATCACCACATCCACCGCGTTGTTCTTCCTATTTCTTTTCCCCCCTTCTGCAATGTCCTGATAAACAGCCTACAACAAAACCTACAGAATAACAGTTTTCTTCCTTATAATGCTTTGAGATTCAGTGGATTCCATGGATAGAGATGGCAGTAGCTGTGCCCTCATCTTGGGGATTCATAGGGACTCACATAAAAAAAATTTATAAAAGGGAGTCTTCAGAGTGCCTCAGTGAGTGCTGTCATGCCTGCAGTATGTACTGGAGCATCCAGCCAGAGGCTAGCTTCAGTTCAGAAGCGCTGCCATTTCAGCTGGAAGCCAGGACTTGCTTATTGGACCCTGCTTCTTGGCACAGCACTGTGCCAAAATGACTCTGCTACCATGAATTTTGAAGGAAGTGTGGCTCTGCTTGGTCTGGGTTTTTACCATTGTACTTCTTTGCGTAACACAGCTGTGCACCAACTGCTCAAATTCCTGTTTCTGTCTCATTCAGAATTCTGATTTCATGTGCCACTTCAGAGAAGGAGATTTTGGCTCCTGAGTCACTTAGGAATCTTTAAAAGTTTTATCCTTAGCTTGCTTTTACCTATCTAAATGAAATAATAATTACTAGAAATAATTCCATGAATAGTTACTGAGTATGTATACTGACTTGTTATCCAACTGGAGATTAAAATTCTTACCATGCTGTGATTCTCACAGTTAATAACTATATAATATAACTGGTATTAGACCTAACTTAATATAGTGTTACTATGCTTATAATAGGTGGACATTCCTCTTCAGAGTTAATTTTCAGGATGCTTATAAACATCATGGTCGGTTTATTCCATTTACTCTCTTGCTTTGTGGTGAATAAGACTTCAGTAAAATTATCTGTACTCAGTATGTGCCTATAGTATCATCCAATCATGTAAAATCAGGGGCACTATTTTTAATCAGACAAAATAATTGGTACTAATCTTGAAATAAATGGTGCTCCTGAGAAGCAGGAGCTCCTGTCTTCTTAGGAGCACCATCTGTGTGGCTCATATGCAATCAGCAATATTTATATTAAATGCTATATATTCTGCCTCACCTACTGTTTGATTTCTTCTGAGTCTCATCCTATGAACCAAAATGGGAATCACAAGACCCAACTTCTGACAAGTTGTTTCTTCCCTCGGTCGACTGACACGTACCTTGTTAGTGCATCTTTCTTCAGCACTTTTTTCAACCCACAGAGTTCATGCTAAATCCGGTCTGCCCAGTGCACGGTCTCCAGCTCCGTTTTTATTGTAATCTACACATAGCTTTTTATATATCCCACTTATATGTTATAAAACTTTGCTGCTTCCAATATCACCGTAGATTATCCCCAGAAACACTGTTCTGTTCCTCATTTCTGAGAAGACTACTTGGTAATTGGTGGGGTGTTTTTTTTTGTATGCTTGTAAATGGCAAAATTTTACTGTACAACATTCTCCTAGCTTAAAAAAAAGTAAAAATTGAGCATACATTTTTCAGATTGCCATTTTACTAACAAATATGCTTTTCTTGTTCTTTCTTTTTTTCTTATCTGGTAAGGGGTTTGTAAGCAAGCTGGATGAATTCATTTGCTGGTTAAATGAAGCCATGGAAACAACAGAGAATTGGACTCCTCCTAAGGCAGAGACAGACAGCCTTAAACTGTACCTGGAGACACACTTGGTAGGACAAGATTATACTACGATTGCTATCAGTAATTGAAGTGTTCTGCTGTGCTTTTTATTTGATTATTATTTTTTAATTACTGGTGTGCATCTATATTTTAATGTAAGATTTGCAGCATTGCAGTTTAATGAAAATACCAACAAATTTATTCTCTGTACTTGAAATATGTACTGATAGCTTTCTAAAAATTAAATTGAAAGCCAAAATTACAATTCAGAAATTATCTCTGAAATGGTAACAAAAAGGCAATAGCAAAAGGAGAAAATGTTTTTTCTGCTGTTAGCTCTGAGATTTTGACTACACTAACATTAACAAAACTCTTACTCTGGAGGAACTCTTATTCTTTCTCCCAGAGTTTTACCATAGTACAGAGTGCTTTAAAATATTTGAAATAATTAAAAAAATTGCTGTTCAGTTCTGTTGTGTAATTAATACAACCGTCACTAACCTTGTTCTTGTGGAAAAAGCTGAAACACTGTGTGAAAGTAGAAAACACTTGGATGAATGAGCTTTTAAGTATATTACAGGCTAGAATTATAGACTGAGAAATGTTTAATAAACCTCATGAGACTTTCACTGAATTATTCCGAGAGTTGTTTCTGGCTATGAGGAGGCAAAACAAAGACCTGAATTAAACCAGGTGTTAAGTTCTCAAAAGCAAAATTTTACATTATAGGTAAAGAACAGAAATCAATGTTTGCTTTTCAATGGGTAGGTATCTTAATAGGTAAACTATCTAGTAAAAATGAAAAATAATAAAAAGAATGAGAAATTAAGCTAAGAAATTCCCTCTCCCTCTTCCAAAATCTTAGGTTCTTGCGAGTATGAATTGGAAGAAAACTTGGTGATAGCACTGTTCTGAGCCAGTGAGCTAGACACCCCAGCTAGATAAAACAGTGAATTAGCTGAACCTGCATCAGGGCGTCAGCCCCCAAAGCTCAGTCTCATTTCCAGTCTCTGATAATCTGATGGTGAAAAATTATTTGAGAGTCCCAGGAAGTCACGTGATACATTACGGGAAAAAATATCGTTCTAAATCCTACCGTAATACTGGAGTGACCGTTATTAAATTAATTAAGTATACATTAACCACATATACAATTAGAACCAAACTGAAAACCATCTTCGGTATTTCGTCTCTACAGAAAACTCTCTTCTGTCTTTTGTTCTTAAATATTTCTATTGTAGTAGCGCCTGTGGGCAGCCATTAGATTAAGTGACCATTGTGATAGTCTGTAAAATGCATTATGAAGACAGTGCATTTTTACCTTACATTGCCACAAAATTCAAAATCTGCAGGGTTTGGATTTTTGCCTTGTATTGCACATGCTTGGTCCCATGATTCCCGTTGTGTTTAGAAGTACTCTGAAGACAGAGCACATTGTGAGATCAGACCTCAGAAAGGGCATTAGTCATTTCAATTTGTTTTCCTCTTATTCTGCAGCGTGAAACTTTTGGAGAGATGAGTTTTTAGGAGTAGAATCGCATTTTTCCCTCTTGATTGGATAAAAAGAGATATATTCCAACAACTGAGTCTCCATCACAGTTTCTATTTCCCCTTCTTCCATGGGCAGAAGCACAGTAGCTCTTTCTCAGGCAAATGTCTCCCAACTTTGCCTTGTGGTTTTGTGGGAGATGAGGCCAAAACCATCTATTAGACTGGAATGTTGAGTAGTAGTTCAGAGGCAACTCCTTTGTTACTGGAGATAGCCAGAATAAATGAGTATGTGGAAACCCTACAACTTCATTTTCCCCTGGAAGTACTTAGGCTCCCAGCTGTACTCTATATATGCATATCTTTGGGGTAAGAAAACCTTTGTATCTTTCACGATAACTATGTAATGAAACATGGTGGAGTTTTTGGTTTAGTTCTGTAAAGTAAATTGTCTAAAGAACAGTTTCAATTGATGATACTGTAAATATTTTTATGGCATATATAGGCGGTGAAAAAATCAGTGCGCAACCTAAAAAAAAGTAACCCTGACTTTTCTTCATGCATTTCAGAAAACATATGCTATTACACTCATTTTCTATACAGCTCAGTTTAATTGTTAAAATACAGAGCACTTCTATAGTGGGGAAGATACTTATTTGTATTAATTGGCTTCCCAGCTTTTCAGTGGCATTTGTCTGTCAGAAATCCTAATCTGTGTTTAAACAGAAGTATATGAACTTCAATTCACGTTAAGCTCAATGCTAGAATTTTGTTTGGTTGAGTGTTTTAAGACAAGGCTGATCAAGGTCTTTGTGAGGGTACTTATGCGGTTCATTTTCTCCTTTTGCCTCTCAAGTTATACATGCTGTCAGGTTTGCCTAAGATTTTTTTAAGTAAAGGGGGCTTTGTACTTTATAAGTTTAGATTCCAGACTTATGGTATCATAGTACAGACACCGGTAGCAAACTGACCTGGAAAACAAAGAAAAGGTGTTGGTTCTTTTCTATATATTGCATCTGCACTAGCAAGCCTTATAACTATGATTCCTCACTGGTGCAGATTTTCTGGTTGTAGGAGGAGTGAAAACTCAGTGTAGATTAGTATTTTTATTTTTATTAGTAAAGACAAAGCCCTAGCCTTTGGCACAATTTATCAATTTCACCACCTGTGATATCGTTTTCTTGGAAATATGTTTGTTGCAATAACAAAATTAGTGCCATAAAGAGACAATCTTTTGCATTCCTGAATTAAATCTCTGCTGTCAGAATTTAAGAAAGGAAAATATGGGAGTAGGAGAACAGAAAAATGTACTTGTTCTCTTTCTCATTATTTGCTCTGAAAAGTCTTGCAGAGGAGACAAGGACAAGGTTGTGAGCACCCTCCAAATTTTTCAGTGTGTAAAATTCTTGACTGTCATTTTAGGGTCCCAGTGTAAGTTGTTGATAAAAGACTGAATTATAACGTCTCCTCACTCAGTGTCAGTTTTCTACATCTTTGACATTTCGAGAAATGGTGTGGCTCAAACAAAGAGAATGTGTTTATTAAAAACTCCCACAGAACCACCAGAAGAAACCTACAACATTGTCATGGTTCAAGCTGACTGCACGGGCCGACAACAAAGAACCATGCAGTCTCCCACTCACTCCTCCCCCCACCCCTATCTCCATAGGGATGTGGAGGGAGAAAACCAAAAAGGCTCAAGGACTGAGATTAAGGACAGGGAAAGGTAATAATATACTATTTAAGATGACAGGTAAAAAAACCACAGTAGACTTAGGGAGAAAACAAATTTAATTTACCACCACCATTTATGGAGCAGGATAGTGAGAGGAATACATAGTTAAATACAACCTGATCTTAAACACACTCCTCCCACACACACCCCTCTCATCTTCCTGGCTACGTCCTCCCGCACATCAGTGCAAGGTGGGGCAGGGAGTGGTGGGCTTGGTCCATCTGGCTATTATTCGTCATCCGTAGTAGCTCCTCTTCCTTGAGAAAGAGGGCTCCTCACAGTCTGTCCTTCATGCCGTGTGGTTTCCATCTCACAGGATCAATCCTCTTCTTCCTCGTGAGTCCCTCAGGGCCACGAATCACTTCGAGCACGTCCACCACTGATGCTTGGTCTCTCTCCCCTCTCGCATGGATCTCTTGACATACCAGTGCATCCTGGATGTTCTCGCCACTGTCGATTCCCTCAACTGGCAGGCAATGATCTTCCTGCCGTCTCAGCTACCATGAGGCTCCAGGGAGAGGTTCTGCTCTAGCAGCCTTCTCCCTCTCCTGATCCTCCAGGACACTTCTCCCATATTTCTTCTCAGCAATATGTTCCTTTGTTCTTCTTTCACCTCCCCTTCCTCCAGCAGAAAAGCTCCCTGACGCAAAACACAGGACAGATTAAGATGAAAGGAAACCAAAAGAAGTAGAGAACAATGGGATCACCTCTTAAAAACCTTGATGTCAGGGGCCCTGACTGGCCTGGCCCTGGCCAGAGGCAGGTCCAACTTCTACCTAGGCATGGGGCAGGCTCTCAAAATCTCACGAGTCATCCCCCAAAGCTCTACCCCGGCTTCCAAAAACCCCACCAGACTCAAATCCCTGACAAACATCAACTTACTAGAATGCTCACGTGTGGAATCAAATCTTTTGAATAGGATGGCCATGCAAGTCTCAATTTCAAGCATCCTTGCACGATATCTTCAGCTTAAATTGATAGAACCCTCCAAACTTTTATTCTAGTTAATTCTTATACCTGGTCTGGCAAGATTGTCCACACAGGATGTTAATCAGCACTTTGAAGCGTGTGAGTAGTATCTGTGTATCAGTCTTGGCCCAGCAAGAGCTGCCTGCAGGCATCTCTGCAACCATCTGAAGGTCCCACCTGAACAGCTCCTGAAATAATTAGCAAAGCACTTTGTTGTGAAAGTGGAAGGCAGTCTCTCATCAAGTTGGTCTGGTGTTCCAAATTAGTCCTTTATCTTGAACTGTGCAGAGACTACCTGGGGAGTTCCTGGTTCACCCAGGGAATTAATGACTAAGTGCACTGTGTCTGCAGATAGGAACTGCCCTGATACCTAAATACACCACAATTACAATTATTAACTGTAGGACAAATTGAAATTTCATTCTTAAAACACCATTACTGCTTAAACTCCATAGGTTATGCCATGATGAATAAACATATGATTTGGGTAAAGAGTATGAATTTTTTCAACAAATTGAAATGTAGTCTACACCTGGGAAGTGTGCCTAAGTAGAGAATCTTCAGCTCAGAGGACAGTTTTCTTGCAAATATTAAAACCCAGTTCCCCGATTTTCTGCAGAAAAGAAGTTGCTGTATGCTTCATTTTAGATAACACTAAAGGATGAAGCTATCAGTGAAAATGCTCTCAGAGACCGCTGGAATAGTGACTGAAATTATTCTTTCAATTTTATGGACCTTCACAACTGAGTAACATCAGTGAAACTTACTTGGGAGCTGTGTGCTTCCCATTCATATGGGAGGGCTGACTTGGAGCTGCAACCTCTTGAACTTCTGGCACTCCTGCAGGCAGCCACCCAA